GGGCTTCATACAAGCGATCCGCCGGCTCTATAGCCGGCGGATCGCTTGTATATTAACGGGCATCGCTGCCTCTTTTCAAATAGCGGGGATTTCCCGCGCGCACCTGAGGGGGCGGATGTAACAGGACGTGTATACACGCCCAGTTACATCCAAGAAGCTCCCGGCAGGCCGTGTATACACAGCGGCTGGCCGGGAGGTAGTTAATAAAAACTATACTTTGTACACAAAAAAAGTAATTATAGGTGACCCAAAGCCATTTTAGCTTCGTGCTAAAATGAAACTGAATTAAAAAAGTGAAGATTTACTATGTTATAGGAAACATTTGTTTGTGGCTAAACAGTGCCCTAAAAATTTACCTTTTTTCTTAAACCATTCACTTCATGGTATTTGTGTGTTGCTTGGCATTTCTGGGTCTACAGCCTCATAGCTCCATGTCGGCAGTGTGAGAGCATGGCACTGCTGCCTCTGACTGTAAAGGTGGCCATACATATATTGAATTTTAGCTGTTTTCTGATGAATCGTCCAATCGTTTGATGAGAGACAATTTTTTAATCAACGTTTGTTGAAGGAGCCAGGTGGAATATTGTTGGCTGAACAGTGACTACATTCAATCAGCTGCAGTCACTTTTCAGGTATTCTGACAGCCACGGGCAGTTCAGTAATGGGGGAAGATTAGCTGCAATCTGGCCCTTTGCCTGTGTTTTTTGGGGGGCTCAACTGCCAGGGATTAGTTCCTCATTAAAAATGAGTCTGCAGTAAATACAGTGTTGGTTAAAAAATATCTGTTCTGTAGACAAGTAGCTTTCCTTTAGCAGGATATTTCACTGATATGCTGGGATTGATTTACTAAAGACAAATAGGCTGTTTACTTCACAAGGAAATTCTCCCTTATCTCAGTGAATGAGGCGAAGTTCTGCTGGCTTCCATCATCCAATCATATACAAGCAAAAAATCTGTTTTTGTTTTTTTTCTTTGGTATTTTTGACAAAGTCAAATTTCACCACATTCACTAAGCTAAGGCAAAATTCCCTTCCAAAGAGAACATTTTTTTGGAACGTGAACAGCCTATTTGCCTTTAGTAAATCAACACCACTATGTTGATTTAATAGGGCATTCAGTGATGACTTCACGATAGACAAGACAAATATTATCTGTACATAGGTTTGTCTTAATATTGAACTA